TTGATTAGCTTCTTCAGTATTATTGAAAAGGAATACTGATAAAATACTAAAGGCATATCTGATTTCTCGAAGAAATAAATATGATTAATGTTTATGGAAAAATAGCCTATTGTATCGATAATATGGGCGTGTTTTTTCCGGTCCGACATATGAATTTCAATATTAGATCGAACCTATGATATCTTCGCCATTCATCCGTATACACAAAAGTGAACAAAACAAAAGGTTATAATGAAATAAAAATCACCATTAATCGTCATAGCCACAGGACATCTATCCATCCGGCCGCACTTTTCGCGCCGCCCACCCTTCAACACACACCCATTAAGACCTTTTCATTATGGCCACCTCACAAGCATCCTTTCACCAACACCTCCTCGTCAATCTACACCCACCAACACCTCCCCATGAAGAGGTTCTCCAACGCCCTCTGGCCAACATGCATTCAACAACGCTCTTTCGACTACATCGTTCACCAACATCGACACCCTCTCGCCAACGCCTCCCATCAACACCCGTTCATCAACACCCTTTCACCAACACCTTTTCACCAACACCCTCTCGCCAACACCCTTTCATCATCACTCTTTCACCAACACCTTTTCACCAACACCCCTTCATCAACACCCTTTCACCAACACCTTTTCACCAACACCCCTTCATCAACACCCTTTCACCAACACCTTTTCACCAACACCCTCTCACCAACACCCTCTCGCCAACACCCTTTCACCAACACCTTTTCACCAACACCCTTTCATCAACACTCTTTCACCAACACCCTTTCATCAACACCCCTTCATCAACACCCTTTCGCCAACACCCCTTCATCAACACCCTCTCACCAACACCCCTTCATCAACACTCTTTCACCAACACCTTTTCGCCAACACCTTCTCACCAACACCCTCTCACCAACACCCTCTCACCAACACCTTGCCAGCAACGCCTTGCCCCGAGAGCTCCCTCCTAACCCCCGATGATTGTTCCTCCCGCAGACAAATCGACGGCGTCGCGCCCACCTTCGCCCAGAAGCCCGTTATCAAGCAGGAGGAAGGAGGAAAGAACATTAAATTCGAGACTCGAATCTTGGCGGATCCGAAGCCAGCCATCACCTGGACCCGCGACGGACTCAGGGTGCAAGAGTCCGCGCGGTGCAAGGTGAGTCATGAGGCGTGAGTCGGGAGGGTGTGGGAGGGGAAGCGGGGATTCAGAGGGAGAAAAGGAGGGTATTGCGGGACAGGGAGGGTAGGAAAGGAGGGTGTAGGAGAGTAAAGTGAGTCAGGGAAGATAGAGAAGGAGGGTGTGGGAGGGTACGGTGAGTCAGGGAGGATAGGGAAGAAGGGTGTGGGAAGGAAAAGTGAGTCAGGGAGGGAAAGAGGAGGGTGTTAAAGGGCGGTGAGTGAGGAAGGATGAAGGATCAGGATAAAGGGTAATAGGGATATATGATGAAATATAGAAGGGTGGAAAACAGAGGCAAAAAGAATGCGGATGTTTGTCACGTATCCTATACCAGCATGACATCTTTGAAAAATAAACAAACATTCAAAAATCCAGGGCGGGATATCTTCACTCATTTAAGAGTAATCGCAAAATAAGCTCCCCTGTTTTCCCTTTGCTCATCCATATCTCTAACTTATTCAGAACCAGCAAAACATTATCAAAGAAACCTGGCAGAGGGAGGCGGCACCTCAGCTCACTGGAGGCAGCCCGAGTGATGCCATTGTAAAAATAGTTACTGGGCAATGACCCATGAAAGATATGTATATTTATAGACTGCCCAGAACGCCTCTTCCTCCTCTTCTTCTTCTTATCGTATTTATTACTTCTTCTTTTTTCGTCTTCATTTCTCCATAATAATTGGATAATTTTACATTTCATTTATATTAGAGATGAAATAAAGATCAACATGCAGATAAGAATAAGAGAAGTAAGGGATGATAACAAAGATTAGAGAAAGAAGTCCTAAATGAAACTGAATCTTTATACATGAGGGAGAAAAATAACTACACAACCTTGCTAAACTCGAGGAAGAATGTGATACACATTCCTTGACCTCACTTCCTAGCCATGACCTCGCTCCCCCCCCCCCCCTTACGGAATCCAACCCCCCTTTTCGCTTGTCTGTGTCCTAAATGAACCGGATGCCGTACGTGGCTGACGGTATGCCGGTTCAGGCAGGGGTCTCCCTCTTAGAATACCTGCATATCACGAGGCGCTGTCACTATACACGCGGCTCTGATAAGGACCAGGGAGATCTGTAGTGGTTTATAGATGTTGTTGAAGGATCAGATCCCATAAATCTGTATAATAAGGTTGATACGTGACGTTATAGCCACATGGTTGTTGAGGACGAATGGGAAAGGGTTTCGCGGTTGAGACGTCCTCGCGTCTGATCTCAGGCTGTCATGAGGCATTTCATGATAACTTTACATCTGCTTTCCCAACCATGAAATCACGACTTATCATCAATGGGAAGGAGGGGAGGGGGAGGGGGAGGGGAGAGGGAGAGGGGGAGAGGGAGAGGGAAGGCGGAAAGGGGTTAAAAGAGGTCAGACTCAGGTCATGCATAAGGGTACCAGTACCAGAGCCAATGCCAACGAGAGTGTAATCCACAGGTGACGATGGAGAAGGATCAAAAATACTACTTCATCACGCTGGCCTTGACCAACGTTACCGTAGAGGACGCCGGCAAGTACAAGATCACCGCCAAGAACGAGCTCGGAGAGAGTAACGCCACCATTAGCCTTAACTTCGACAGTGAGTACAACGACTTCAGAAGAGAGACATGTGTCACTATGGACTGTCGAGGAATATGTTGCAATGACATTTTCCTGACTTGCGAGATAGGAGCTTTTAGGATCGGACCTTTAGGGATTTTTGGTCTTTATTAGAGATCGATTAGGAGTTGCTGACTTATCTACTTTTTTACAGGACTTGTTATAGACTATTTAGAAATGCACTCTATTTGTTAATGTTTCGACTAAATGACAAAAAAATTATAAAGAAAAAAAAAGACATGGAAATATATTAAATATCACGCTGCCACTTCATAAAATATTATTCTAATTCTCACCACAGAAAACTTAATAAAAGAAATCAGACTTTTCGACAGTTAACCCCACGATTTTTTTTTTACTTTTTTGACAAGCACGTGACAGATATTTTGAAACACGTGACAAAGTCTACATCTCTGAGATTACCTCAACAAAATAATAAACATTTTTGACTTTGATGGGACTGAAAACCCACAAGAGACGACTTTTGAATACAAGGACCCGACGGTCTAATAAGCCTGATATAACCCCGCGCCCTCTCACATCCCAAACACCTCAAGGTGTAAATGCATAATGAAAAAAAAACCTTATTATTTATTTTTTTAATTCCCTTTCTTTCACATTTTTTAAAAATGTAATTCTAATTCATTATTTTAAAAGCTACGTAAGCTTGAGGGCGGGGCCTTTTCTTGCTTGCGTGACCCTGATCTAACCCTCTTTTTCCTCCGCCTTATCGAGATGTGGACATCAATGTTTTTACTTTTTCCTCTACTTTTTATACCTTTTTTGTGATCTGAATATTCTAAATAAATAAATATATAAATAAATAAAACAAGCGAAAGAAGATACGATGAAATAGTTAAAGCATGAGCAGCTTAGATATCGGAAAATATGAGTAACAAAATATGATTATGCAAACATGTCATTTCATAATCAGAAACGAAACAAAAAGAAAAAAGAAACGAAATACATTCTTGTCATTCTAAAAGAAGCTTCGTCTCGTATTAGCTTCATTAGAAATTGCATTTCTTTCCACACTGTTAGCATTAGCTTTAGAATATATGAAATTATTAGTTAGCTATAAAATAATTTCTTCTATAGATCTCTCGTGTAAGAAATACTTTTAGATATAATTCTAGTATAGGGTACTGATCTTAGTCTTCTATTGAGAATATGCATTAGAGAAAAGCCTCTTTTAAATCTAATGATCATTGTCAGAGATAATTTAGTCTTAACATCTAGTAAGCTAGTCTCTTAAAGAAATCAAATTTAAAGATAATCTTTAACACCTAAGTTACGTGTTCAGTGTTCTGTGCTTTCGTCCTGTCCTTGTCTTAAATGTTAAAACAACAGTAGTGTATGAGTGATGAGATTTATGTGTTAAAAATGTTTTAAAAAATGTTTGTAAGTGTCTCATGGAGTCGACCTCCGCCCATCACCGTGTTGTATGAGAGGATAGCGATTGTCCTTTGTTTCCCTCCCTTTGTGTCTCATAAGAACTCATTAAGACGCCTGCAAGATGCTGATCAACAAAACCGTAAGACTGACAACCTTTTAATAACCTGGAAATCAGACTGAAAATTTAATCCGTTTATTTAATCCACTAAATAACCTATTTGTTTTAGATGATTATGCCTGTTTTAAGTACTAAAAAAATAGAAGTAATCACGTTAATCCTCTGACATAAGTATGCTGAAGCACAACACGGAGATAACATGCGAACAGCAGCCTCAGCATACTAAACACTGACAGCTGACATTTACTCCTGACAACATGCTGACTCTCAGACTTGGTGTCAACGCCTTACATGCTCTTAATATCTATTAAGTTAATAACTTATGTCTTCTTGATTTGGTTTCAGGTTTTTTGTCTATAATCTATTTATTTTATAATCCATTTTATTGTCATAATTATTTTTGTTCTTTTTAATTTTGATTTTGATTTCGACATTTTTTTCTTTTCTTTTCTGTTCACCAACACACATTACATCAAAGGTCTTTTGATCTCTGAGGAGAAGTACTGATAATGTTTACATCAAACTTTACATGAAACATTACTTGAGATATTGTGAATGGATATATATTTTTTTCAGTCATTCACATACATATAAACAATACCCATAATTCACCCACCAAGCCCAGTTCCACCCACAACAACCCTGAGTTTATCAGTAAATGAATATCTCTGAAAAAAAAATCTATATACACAAACCCCAAAAATGTACCGTAGTTCTCTCGTCCATTTCCGGCCTCCCTGTATTTCGAGATCCCAGCCTCAAATGTACCAAAACAATGGTACCGTAGTCCCTATGTATTTCTGGAGTACCTGTATTTCTGGAGTACCCACCCCTACCTCGCTCCTCAGTCCACCCGTTGTGAAGTAGTGTTTCTTAATCGTGAAGTAAAAATCTGTTATAGATGTTTTCCTGAAGACGTTATCATTGGAAATGTTTTCTTCGCACGCCCTCGTCCCCCCTCCCCCTCCCATCCCCCGTATCTGGAGAGTCTAAGATGGTCCTCCACCGCTTAGATTTTTATCAAAGTGATACACAGTTATATTTATTTGCACAGTGTTTCGTATCCAGCACTGAGAATACATCATGTGCCTTGTAACAACCTTTTTTATCATTTATTTGTTGTATCTACTAAATTAACCGCGTATTGGCCAATCTACGTATTGATGTCGTCAATAACATCTGCAAAACTCTCTACTTAACATCTTCATAAACAATCCAAATCCTATTCCTCATTCACATCCTTCCAAAATCTTCCTCCTCTTCTCTTCTCCTTGTCTTTCCAAGATCTATCCGTCACCCTCTTTCTCGCTCGTCTTTCGATCTCGGTCCTACTCGCGTTGTCGCTTTTCTTTTTTTCCATTTTCGTTTCTCTTCCAGTTTTCATTCTATATCCTGTTTCAACACACATCTTCTTTTTTTATCTGCTGTTTTTGCTCTCTTAAAAAAAAACAAAAAACACATACACGTGTGTGTGTGTGAGAAAGTATTATCATTCTGTTTCGCCCGAGATTTGCCAACTCTTTTTCTTTTACTTCTTATTATTCTCCTCTACCTTACTTTCATCATCATCATCTTCTTCTTCTTTTCTGCCTCCTCCTCCACTCTTCCTCCTCTTCCTCCTTCTCTTCCTCTTCCTCTTCATCCCCCTCCTCTTCCTCCTCCTCTCAGCATTCACACTGCCATCATTTTCATCTCGCGTCGCACTCCTTCCCCCTGTGGTCCGTCTAATGGAGTTTCCCCCCCGCGCGTATGGTCAGGTTCCTTTATGATGCTCGCAGGCGACGAGGCCCCGTTGCCTCCCGCCGAAGGTGTCCGCCCGACCTTCACCGAGCGTCCCAGCATCAAGCAGAGCGACGACTGCTCAAGTGTCATCTTCAGATGCCGCTGCGTTGGCAACCCTAAACCAACCATCTCCTGGTGAGTGCCTGTGCCGCGGCGGTCGCTTCCGACCTGCTCCGTTTGTGCCTTTAGAATTCTTCTCTTAATAATGCCAAAATATCGGGATTGATTGATTGATTATCTAAAATCATCTGTCGCGTCAGCGACAGATGATTTTACGGGATTAAAATATGAAGATTTTTAAAACGTTTGAAAATATTGCAATAAATAATGCCACTTATAGTAAAAGCAAATAACAATAAGTATTATCTGAACTCATGTACTGTCTCCTTATGATCACCTTACATCCGTGTCACTCTGAACCCGCAGGGAATTTAAGGGTAAGAAAATAAAGGAGGGAGGCCGCTACAAGATGAAACTCGAGACCGACGGCAACATCTACTTCATCGCCACACTCGAGATCGCAGGCGTCTCTTCCTCGGACGAGGGCGAATACAGGGCCATCGCCAGCAACAAGCTCGGGGAGGGCGTGGCCAACATCAACCTACACTTCGAGGGTAAAACCGCCTCTGATAAGCCCAAGTAAGTTTTTGCCAAACGATACCAAGAGCCATGTTTACTCCTTGGATGTTTTGCTATTCGTATATTTTATAAACTAATAATGAGAAAGACGAAGGTTCACACGAATCTAGCTCATACGAACGAATATTCCTCCCAGGATCCCTGACGGCAAGGCGCCCAGATTCCCTAAGAAGCCTGAGATCCGTCAGGAGGGAGACAAGCTGATCATGGAGTGCCTCCTGGAAGCCAACCCTGAGCCGGAGGTCACATGGTTCAAGGGCGTCCAGGTGAGTTCGCCTACACCCGCGTCCACATCTCAATTCAAATCTGTACAGTAAAGAATGGAACTCTTCTGCTCCACCTCGAACAATCTCATCCTTAAAAAAGCGAAAGAATAATGCACATGGAAAGAGCAAACCCTGTCCATAGAGGAACAACTTTCTGTTTCTTATGCATATATGCCTCTGTGTATTAGATACAGCGATATAAAGTAAACACAATCTCTTCGCCCCTCCAGATGGTGCAGGAACAAGGCCGCATTTCCATGTACAAGAAGATCTGCGGGAAAGACCAGTATGTTGTCTCAGTCACCATCATGAGTCCTGTGGTTGAAGATGGCGGCCAGTGGAGGTGCAACGCCTTCAACCCATTCGGTGACTCGAATGCCAACATTGCCCTTAATTTCGAAAGTAAGTGTAGACCGAATTATTGTGACAAATATAGGGATGGAAGGAGAATGAGGAATTGCAAATCTAAATGAAGAATACTGCAATGGTATCTGGAATGATCGCGAAGTATTGTGACTAACCATTCATTTGACCGCAGAGGGCAAGGCAGTCCCGGAGGGATTCGCACCCACTTTCCTCGACAAACCATCCATTATCCCCAACGAAACTGGCACCATGATTACCATGAAGGTAAGGCTACTTTGTCGTCTTCACACTGTTCTCAATATCAGAACAATTACATCTTCGGCTTTCTTTTCGAGGCGTAGATAATGATTACTAGTGACAGGTTGAGAGGTTTGGTGTTCAGCATGACTTGCAATAGGGCTGTGTTATTCACGTTGCATTCAGTTATCTATCATCACCATCCTCACAAGTGCATCTTTGCCTCGATGAAATAGAAGGAAAATGAGTCGTATTGTGGTGTACGATTTGAAAACATAACAGCATGATACCATAGCTAGCATAAAAATTCATCAACAAATACACAATAATACACTGTTGAATACAAATAGTTACAGTAATGAGTGCATATTAACGCTTATGATATGTTAATAAATAGATTAACGAGCTCTCTCTTGCTACAGGTTCGTTGCAAGGCCAAGCCTCAGCCGACAGTTGAGTGGTTCAAGGACGGCAAGAAACTGGAAGCTGTCAAGCGCTTGGTCATCAAGGAGCACAAAGTGACAGCCGAGATGTTCGAATACTCGTGCATCGTCAAGGTACGGATTCCGCTTTCTTTTGTGCTGCTCTGGGGAAGTCCTATAGACGGACGTAAACTTTTGACAGCTGCCGAGTTGTGATGGATGGATGACTAAGGTTGTGCAAAGTCCAAACAGTCATAAAGACCAAGACAACTCGGATAAACTGTTCTGTGGACCCTCGAACGACTGACCTTCATAAGGTCTTGATGTGTTTTGAATGACTCACAGGGTTGGCTTTGACCTGACTATCTGCTGCACGTGAGACGAGATCCTGTGAATGAAAATGCCTGTTGACTCAGCTTGGCATGGTTGCATGCTTGACATACAGACATAGGGCTTTATGTGGTTATTATCACATTCAGCAACAGCACTGCTACAAGTTGTTATAAATTGCATTATTACATACATGATGAAATATTTTTGTTCACAACACATGTCTTAGTGAAACAATAAATATGTGAGATATTATTTCCAGTTGTACGCACCTCTGTGATGTCTTGACCCCTGATACCTCTCTTGCCCCAGCGATCTCCATTTCAATCTCCTCAATTCCTCTTCCTTTCCTTTTCTTCTATTCCCTTCTTCTATCGTCCTCGATCTGACTCCTCCCTATGTGTATGATGTATTAGTGTCATGATTCTCCAGCTAGTACGGATCTCTATCTTTCCGTTGCAATTTTGTTTTTACTTTTGTCAACACTTTTCTCAACATCCCTTCCCTGCGTGTTGCTACTCTATGCATTTTGAAGCGAATTTTGCCCTTACTGTAATTAGCGTACATGTAAGCGTCCCAATGTGTGTGTCTGGTTTTCCTGCCCAACACATGAACCCTTGGGCTGACGGTCTTGCTGACTCAGGATCCGTGTGGTGCTGACGCCGGCAAGTACAAATGCGTGGCCATGAACCAGTTCGGCGAGGCCACCGCCAACGTCAACCTCAACATCGAGGCTGACCAAGAGCCTTCAGGTCAAGCGCCAGTGTTTATCGAAAAGCCGAGCATCAAGTTCGAGGAGAAGGCCGGGCGCGTGCTGATGGAGGCCCTGGTGCGAGCCGACCCTCAGCCGACGTCCCGCTGGACGAAGGACGGCAAGGAGCTGGACAGCTCCAAAGTGACTGCCACTGTCACCAGGGAGAAGGACGACCTCTACCGCATCCGGCTGGAGCTGAGGGTAACCCAGCCCACCGTCTCCTGCTGCCTCTGTTACTACCATTACAATACAGCTGCTGCCACCAATGCTATTAATACCTATACCTTACCGCAGCTCTGTGCGAGGCTACGGGTGACCTCCCTTGCCCTGCTTGTTTTAAAAGGCTTTATTAAATCTAACAGATTTATTTATGATTCTCTTTATTTCAGCGACAATTTCCCCATAATAACACCGACAACACCTTCACCCAAAAACCTACCTTAGTATTAGCTAACTAAACACTGAAAGAACTTATTTACATTAGCCTTAAAACAATCAGTATTACATAGAGCAATCTGTCTTAATATTTGTAACATAGACTTATATTTCTCTAACCCACATTAATGATACAATTAATTTTGTAATCAATAGCAGTGGTATTTATTATTAAACAAAAAGACATTCAGTCAGCAAATTGTAATTTTAAGTTACTCCTCAAGGCATTACATTTAATAGTTCTCCCACTTAGGAATGAAACTACTTTACACCAACTCCCGGAAAACTTCTTCCGTCCACCCCCCACCCCCTTAGTCTAAGACGTCCTTTTAAACTCCTTCGGGAGTCATAGGACCTGAGCCACTTGGTGAACGTGCATAACCCCGAGCTTGGGTCTCGTGTCTACATTTGTTCGCCGTCTGAAGTATCTTTGGCTAGTGTAGATGCTGGGCTCTCAAACTCGGGTTCTGTTCAGAGGCTCATCCAAGCTCTTTCCTTTGCAGAAGCCACAGCCGACTGACGGTGGCGTTTACAAGTGCAACATTAGGAACGAATTTGGAGAGCTTAATGCCAACCTGAACCTCAATATCGAAGGTAGTATTATTCGCAGTACTGTTAGTGGAAAATTTACGTCTAAATATAAAGAAAAGAACAGAGAGCCAAAATATATTTTTGATATGTGATTTCTTTCAGTGCTGTTTAAATAAAGATTTATTGTGTTCTTCTAAATACCTGAGACTAATTATCTGTTTTACCTGTACAGTCGCTCCTACGATCAAGAAACCTCCCAAGATCGTGTCGGTGTTCAACAGGAAGGTCGTGATGGAATGCGTTGTCATGTCCACTTCCAAGCCCGCCTGCAACTGGTTCAAGGATACCACCAAGGTCAGGTTGGACACACGCCACTGCGTTAACATCATTGAGGTGAGTTCTACAAGGCGGACAGAACAGTTACGAGAAGTAAAACGAAAAATTGTGACACGTTCTCATGTTATTATACCTTATACTACGATGGGAGACGAGAAGTACCTTACTGCAAAAGTACACAGTAATGAGTCCTTTCTTCTTTACGGCTACTAAGGAGATCCCTTTTCCCCTGTCACAGGAGGGCGAGGGCAAGTACGTTGTCCAGATGGAGATGCTGAAGGCAGAAAAGTCGGACTGCGGCATGTACAAGCTCGTGGCCAAGAACGAGAAGGGCGAGACCACTTCCCAGACCGTCCAGCTCATCGAGAGCATGCTGGAGGAGGTTAGTCTTGCGCACACTAATATACTGCTGAAGATGAGAGGGGATATTGAGATACGTATATTTTTAAACGGAAGCTTTCATGCTCATATGTAAAAGTAAAAGTGAATTGGTAAAATTTGGTACTCATATTTTTTTTTCATAGAGCTGATGCTTATTTATTCATTCTTAGATAGTTTAGGCTTCTCTTGTTTAGCCTACGTATCTGCAAATGACAAATGAATAATCTTTTCTTTTTCCTTTTCTTTTTTTTCCCACCGCGTCTTCAGAAGAAAGAGAAGAAGGAAGAGAAGGTAAGACAATCCATCTATATCTCTTATTCCCCTGTAATCATAAGAACGTAGTATCCCCCCCCCACCTATCACCACCGCAACCATCCCCAAACTAGTCTCTGGCCCATCCCTTATTTAGCGGTTGTGAGGGCTGATAGTACATGTAAATAGCGGTACCTCTTTTAGTCGGAAAAGGAAGTATTATTTTATCATAGGATCGTTCCTGCTTTGCTATGGTAGACCTACACAGCCCCCAGGAAGGGTAGATTCTTAGATTGATGGTATAAATGTTATTGAGGAATTAATCATAGAGAAAGAGCATGTTCAAAATACTGGTAGTGAAGTTCACAATGGGACCTCGGTAAACATCTAAACATCCCCTCACAAAGAAGTATATTTTAGTTGTTCCATCGGATGGTTTACATGTTCACCGAACTCAAAAGAACATAGCTAAAGTAGGAGTAAGCTTGAACCCTTAGATCCAAACTGAACCTATAGAGCACAACAAAACAGTTGATGTGCTTGCGGTTTCCAACGACCATTAGAGTACCAAATATCTTCCCATACAGTTCCAACCCCACATAATGCTCCAGTCCCAGCCATACACATAGTTTAACAGTTCCAAACCCACAGATTGTTCAATAGTTCCCATGCCATGGCCCTCGTCCCCCAATCGTTACATAGTCAGTCTCAACCCCACATATTGTTCGTCAGTTTCCACCCCACAAATTGTTCAATTGTCCCAACCCCACAAATTATTCAATTGTCCCAACCCCACAAATTGTTCAACTGTCCCAACCCCACAAATTGTTCAACTGTCCCAACCCCACAAATTGTTCAACTGTCCCAACCCTACAAATTGTTCAACTGTCCCAACCCCACACCGAGTTCAGCAGATAAAACAGAACAACAGCACAATGCGCACTTCCGCTCTTTTGTCACTTGGCAACCTATGCATGCAGGAATCTTCCGAGGAGGAAGAGGAAGAAGAAGTGGAAAGCGATGACACGGTTGTGATGGAAGACGATGTGAAAGAAGAAGAGGAGATATATAAAGAGCCGGAAGAAGAGGAAGAAGAGATTATTGAAGAGACTGACGTGACGATGGAAGAGGAGGTTACCGAGGAAGAAGAGAAGAAAAAGAAACCTAAGAAGAAGGAAGAGGAGAAGAAGAAGGAGGAGGAGAAAAAGAAGGAGGAAAAGAAGAAGGAAGAGGAGAAAAAGAAAGTCGAAGAGAAGAAGAAAGAGGAAGAGAAAAAGAAAGTGGAGGAGAAGAAGAAAGAGGAAGAGAAAAAGAAAGTGGAGGAGAAGAAGAAAGAGGAAGAGAAAAAGAAAGTGGAGGAGAAGAAGAAAGAGGAAGAGAAAAAGAAAGTAGAAGAAAAGAAGAAAGAGGAAGAGAAAAAGAAAGTAGAAGAAAAGAAGAAGGAGGAAGAGAAAAAGAAAGTAGAAGAGAAAAAGAAGCCCGAAGAGAAGAAGAAGGAGGAGCCGAAGAAGCCCGAGGAGAAGAAGAAGGAGGAGGCCAAGCCGGCGGCCAAGCGAGCCAAGGAGGAGGCCAGGCCGTCGGACGCGAGCGAGAGCGAGGCGCCGTCCGAGAAGGAGAGCGCCAGGCCGCGCCGCAAGGCCCCGGCGCCCAAGAGCGAGTCGGAGCTGACGGAGAGCGAGGGCGAGGAGGTCCGGCGCAAGAAGGTCATCAAGAAAGTCGCCGCCAAGAAGGAGCTGAGGCCGGCCGAGGACAGCACGATGGACGAGGACACGATGACGGAGGGGGAGGAGCAGGAGGCGCCGCGGAAGGTCAAGAGGACGCTCAAGACGCCGAAGAAGGTGGATAAAATAACCAGAAGGAAATACAAATTTTAAAAAAAGCGGCATTAACGTTTCTCGAGCTTCGTTTGACCGTGCATTACTCGCTGTCTCTGCCTTCGTGTGCTTGCCTCTTCTCGGGAATCTTCTGAGAAAAAAAACAACATTTTTTTTATTTATCATTATTATTATTTGGCCAACAACCATTTCATGTCGTCGGCGTCCGCACCAGGAGGCGTTCGTCATTTGTCACGCCGATTTCTGTTTTCTTTCTTCGCATAACAGGAAGCAAAGGAAGGCTAACCATGTCGTCGCAAAATCACTTCGTTGATCTATCTTTACTCCTACTATGATTATTCACTATTTATCTTCTCTTTGTAACACATTCGCGACGCAGAGCTCAACATTTTCCACTTACACAAACACTTCACGCTATTCTATATGTATATGTATCCTACTCCTTACTCACAGCCTAACACTAACAGCATCATTCCAGAAAATTATAGTTTAGTATTACTTATCAAAAGTTTATATGTATTGTTGTTGTTCTGAATTTCGTGTATATATTCCATATTAGAGTTTAAAAGTGTGTGAGTGAATGGTGGTACAAATGAGTGAATGTGTTTATGCTTGCGTTTACCTCTTTTGGAAATAATTTTATACGAGATAAAATTCAGATACTAATGCTCCCACTTTTTTCTCTCTTTTCCAGGTAAGAGCCCGGAATAGTCCCGTACTGGTAATGTTTTGTTATTATTCCCTGTCACAACACCCGGTAACTTACATCATAGCCTTTGAATATGATAGATTCTTGTTACTTCGTGTTCTCCTTTACAAAACTTGTTGTTTTATGAGTCATGCACACATGAATGTTTTTACTTGTCATAGAACCACGTGATTTCTTGCAATAGGCCTGTCACTTTCCTGTCACTAGCCGTCACGTCACATACTGTCTGGCGACGGTTGTGTTTTCTTAGTGTTTTCCTTTCTCTGTATTTGCATGTTCCGTTCTTCCCTTTTTCTTCCTTTTTACGATACCCAATTGTGATCACTCGTGCCACGTGTTAATGCTGTGGTCACGTTCTCCGTGTCTTGCATCTTTGCCGATAATTCTCATACACTCAATAGAGACACACACCGTCGTTGGCGCGTGGCTGGTGTTCAGGGGGACTCGAACCCTTGAGTTCGGTCCCTTTCGAAGCACCCGGGTACTTGCCACCCAACGAACGGGGAGAATGTGTGAGGATGAATTCTTATCCGGCATGTTAAGTTAAGATACCAATCCGGCCGTTCTTTTCGTTTTCTTCTATCCCCTTTTCTTATCGATTTTTCCTTCTTCTTCTCTTTTCTTCGGGTGTTCCTGTGTTTTAGTGTTTCATATGCGTTTTCCCCTTTCCCTTTAGCGCGTAGACGAAGACGAGGAGACAGAGGAAGAGATTCAAGAGGAAATCTCTGAATCTGAGACTTTGATCTCCGAGTCAGAGGAAGAGGTAGTTAAGAAGCCGGAAAAGGCAAATGAACCGGAAAAGAAAAAGGAGCCGGAGAAGAAAAAAGAGGAGGTGAAGGAGGAAAAGAAAAAGGAGGAGGTAAAACAGGAAAAGAAAGAGGAGCCAAAGAAGAAGGACTCGAAGATAAGGATGGAAGAGGAGATCGTAGAGACGGTAGAGGAAAAGAAAGAAAAGCAGAAAAAAGATTCAAAGATCAAAATGGAGGAGGAAATAGTAAAGATTGTCGAAGAAAAGACAGAAGAACCCAAAAAGAAAGAGGAACAAACCAAAAAGAAAACCTCAAAGGTCGAGGAAAAGGTGGAAGAGGTTGTCGAGGAAAAGGGAAATCCCCATAAGAAGACAGAAGAGGCTAAAAAGAAAACTTCAAAGGTCGAGGAAAAGATAGAAGAGAAAACGGAAACTAAGAACCCGCCAGAAAAGAAAAAGTCGTCCAAAGTCGAAGAGACAGTAGAAAAGACTGTCGTGGAGGAAAAGAAGGAAGAACCTAAATCAAAGAAGATAAAAACAGAAGAGGAAACCGTTAAGAAGACCGAGGTAGAGAACCCCGCAAGGAACCCGAAGAAGGAAGAGTTCAGGAAAGTAGACGATTACTGGAACGAAAAGTTTGATGACGAGGACGACATTCCTTCTAAGCCGCTGGTCAAAAAGCTGCCCACTCCGCCGCCCATCTACGTCCCGGAGACAGAATCGGAGGAGTCCGAGGGCGAGGACCTCATGGCCAGCCTTCTGTCGCAGTTCATGGGGCAGAAGAAGAAACAAAAGACCTTCGAGAGTACCCCTCGAGAGCCCCGCAAAAAGTCCTTTGATAGCCGCTCGTTAGAGCCGGAAGACGAGCCCGAGGAACAGAGCGCCGCTTTCACTGCCCAGCAAGAACCCGAGAAAAAGAAATCCTCCGTCGAGGGGGACGCGACCGTGACGACACCCAAGAAGAAAGAACCCGAGGTAAGTGAGGAAGACGCGGCGCTGACCATTAAACCGAAGGAGAAGATCAAGTCGCCGCCTCCCCCGCTGGGGAAACATGAAGTGCTCACGTCCGTCATCAAGGAAACCGACGAAGACGCGGAATCAAGCCCTCCTTCGCCGCCGCCTCCTCCCAAGGAAGAGCCGAAAAAGGGAACGAAATCCAAGGCTGATCTCGAGGATATGACGCCCATGGAACGCTACTTGTATGAGCTCTTTGGAGGGACAGTTGACGAAGAAGACGAAGCTCCGGTAGGCAATACGGTACCTAGATGGCGGTCCGCCTCGCCCAGGGACCTAGTGTACCTCCACTGAGATTTGTTTTGTTGTTTTCAATTACTGCAGATATGCCCTCCCCTCCCTGCTCCCAATCCCTATCTCTCTCTCTCTTTCTCTTTCTCTCTTACTTTTTCTCTTCCTTTCTTTCTCTTTCCCTCTTCCTCTCTCTCATCCTATCTCTCTGTACTTGTTCTTCAATTGCAAACCCTCCAACTCCCTCCATGCCCATCCCACCCTTTTTTTCAACACACCCACTTCTTTCGGGGAGTAGTCAGATCAAAGTCCTCACAAAAGATGCCAATACAGTGCCACCCGCGTCAGTGGAGCGCCCCTTTCCCTGCGGCGAGGCGACCCCTGCGTCCGACGTGTGACCCGGCGCCAGCACGGGGCGTCGCAGCTCTCCTTGGTTTCTGCATTCGAAGATCTCGCCGTCTAACAAATAAGAAGAAAATTTTAAAAATTCGAAGGATAAAGCGATCAAGCATTTTAAAAAGACGACATTTAAATAGCCCGGTAGTGAGGTTGCCCTTTTGGCGACTTTTAAACGAACACTGAACACTCCCGAATTACACCCACAAATTTCTAAATGACACTAAATGATGCCTTTCCTTTGCAGGTAATTGCTATATAATGAAATACGCTTTATCTATTATTTTCTCATTATTATTGTAGATTTGGCTCTCTGTAGGAGTTGGTATATCTTGGCACTTCTCTCCAGTAGAAAAACGTATACTAACTTCTTTATCTTGCAAAGTCTGTAGTTGTATTTCGCTTTTTGTTTTCTGAAACGAGTTTGAGGTAGGAGGTTCTAACCGCTTCTTGTGCATCTTTCTTATCCCACAGAAGGAAGAGGTGAGGGAGGAAAAGATGGAGCAACAGGTACTTGTTACTCATTGCACTGTCTGTCAAGTGTCTTTAATGCTATTTACCGTAGATTTAGTCAGTTTTAATTGATTTTATCTATGTTCTTGCCATCTTATTATGTGCTATAGTCTTCACTTTGAGTACAGTACAGTTTTTATTCAACATTCAAGTATCCAATTACAAGAAATATCTAGATTTACACCAACTACATTTGAATTTTGTATTTTTTTTATAAATATTAGTAAAACATCCAAATATTTACATTTTAAACATACATGGATAATACCAAATGTCTTTTCCTAAAATATATGTATGTGTTTTACACCAAATTATAAATATGTTTATGTTCTAAATGTCTAAATGTATTTCGTTTTAAATGTCTAAATGTATGTCGTTTTAAATGTCTAAATGTTTTCCGTTTTGGTTCGTTATGCATGCTGCTTCTTGCTAATTTGTTTACGTCCGTCTCTTCTTCCGTCCGCTCTGTGGAGTCCAAAACGCCCCCGTCCGCAGAAGCTGACTTCTGATCTGAGTCTACGCCATTGCCTGCGGGCGTGACGTCACATCAGGAGGTGCTTCTGCGAACGGGTCATGTTGTGTCGGTTTTTGCGAAGTACACGTAGCTCACCATCTTACGTTCCTCCTACCGCAAAGGAGGCCGCCCAGGTTGCAGAGGAAACGATGGTTCAGGAGACCGAGGCTAAAAAGAAGGTTGTTAAAAAGAAGGAGATTAAGAAAGAGGAAGCGGAGGAGTTTAAAATGCCGCAGCTGAAAAAGGTAGAAGTTAAAAAGCAGGAGGTTAAAGAAGAAGCTAAACAAGTTGAACTCAAAAAAGTTGAACTTAAAAAACAAGAAGTTAAACAGGAATCTCAACAGGTAGAGCTTAGAACAGTAGAGACTAAACAAGAATTTGCTTTTGGGGAAGCTCAGCAGATGCAACTAAAAAAAGTAGCGATTAAACAACATGAGGCCCATGTAGAGGAAGCTGCTTTTGGAGTGCAATTGAAGAAAGTAGAGGCTAAGCAGGAGTTCACTTCCGGAGAAGCTCAGACAGTACAACTCAGGAAAGTTGAAGCTAGGCAGGAGGTTTCCGTTGGAGAAGCCCAGAAAATTCAGCTTAAAAAAGTAGGAGCCAGAGAGGAGTTGTCTGTTGGAGAAGCTCAGAAAGTGGAACTCAGGAAAGTAGGCGCTAAACAAGAAATGGCTGTAGATGAAGCTCAGAGAGTGCAACTAAAAAAGGTTGAGCATTTTAAACAAGAGGGAGTAGAGGAAGCTCAGAGGATTCAGCTTAGGAAAGTTAGCGCTAAGGAAGAGATGCTTGTAGATGAAGCTCAGAGGGTGCAGCTAAGAAAGGTTGAGCATACTAAACAAGAAAGCATGGAGGAAGCTCAGCGAATCCAACTAAAAAAAGTGGGCGCTAAGCAAGAAGTAACTGTAGAGGAAGGCCAGAGGGTGCAACTAAAAAAGGTTGAGCGAACTAAACAAGAGGGCATAGAAGAAGCCCAGAGAGTGCAACTAAAAAAGGTTGAGCATACTAAACAAGAGGGCATAGAGGAAGGCCAGAGAGTGCAACTAAAAAAGGTTGAGCGAACTAAACAAGAGGCTGTAGATGAGGCGCAGAAGATCCAACTAAAAAAGGTTGAGCCTAAAAAGCAAGCTGCCGTAGAAAGTAACTGTAGAGGAAGGCCAGAGAGTGCAACTAAAAAAGGTTGAGCGAACTAAACAAGAGGGCATAGAGGAAGGCCAGAGAGTGCAACTAAAAAAGGTTGAGCGAACTAAACAAGAGGGCATAGAGGAAGGCCAGAGGGTGCAACTAAAAAAGGTTGAGCATACTAAACAAGAAAGCATGGAGGAAGCTCAGCGAATCCAACTAAAAAAAGTGGGCGCTAAGCAAGAAGTAACTGTAGAGGAAGGCCAGAGAGTGCAACTAAAAAAGGTTGAGCATTTTAAACAAGAGGGAGTAGAGGAAGCTCAGAGGATTCAGCTTAGGAAAGTTAGCGCTAAGGAAGAGATGCTTGTAGATGAAGCTCAGAGAGTGCAACTAAAAAAGGTTGAGCGAACTAAACAAGAGGGCATAGAGGAAGGCCAGAGAGTGCAACTAAAAAAGGTTGAGCATTTTAAACAAGAGGGAGTAGAGGAAGCTCAGAGGATTCAGCTTAGGAAAGTTAAGCCGTAGAAGATGCTGAGAAAGTTCAACTAAAAAAAGTAGAGCCTAAAAAGCAAGCTGTCGTAGAAGAATCTGAGAAAGTAGAGCTGAAAAAGGTAGAGCGCAAAGTCGAGCAGACCATCAAGGACGAACCCAAAGCCCCCAAAGAGACGGCACAGGTTTGTCACCAGCACTGACATGGCCTTGTTGGTCCCTCATACTCACACACGCACGCTTTCCACGGGCGGGTTGAGGCCCTTGTGCTCCTGCTGGGGGGAGGGGGGTCGAGTCACTTGAGAAACGCTTACTGGCACTTTATCATGGGGTGAGTCATGCAGAGACACTGGCACTTCATCAGGGGAATCCCTTAAGATTGCCTTTTGATATGTTTGATGTCATTCAACTGCAGCAATCAATGTCTGGCTGAAATATCAGTATCTATTCTCATGATAAATAGATATCTGAAACCACAGCATCAGACACTCAGGTGACACACTACTAGAAAGTTTATCAAAGCAAGGGCCCAACTTTCCACGCAGGGAATAACGCGCAGTCTAATCGTTAAACACAAACATTGTGATAATTGATAAATCTCATTTTCACTAAAGAATCTGAGAGGTTATCATCAATGTCGATCCCTTGTGTTGTCTCCATGAAGGGCGCGATGTAAACGCTCCCCGCTCGCGATGTCTCTGTGTTTCCGATGAGACCAGAAACACACTAACACGTGGTCTTACGAAGATCCGCCAGGTCGAGACCCGGTGGTACTAATGTCCTTGTCTGTGGATGACGAGACCTGTTCGCTAGCTCGTCGGTACAAAAACGAAAGCTTAATCGCCGTTGTTAAAAAAAATCGCCAACTCCTTCACGCAAAACCATTCTTGATAAAACACGATTTTTCCTCATTATGTTTTTTTACAGCGGTTATCTCGTCTACAAGTGTTACTCGTCGTTTTTTTTTTTTTTTCGACGTATTACGTTTCCGAGGAAGTTGTGGCATGAGCGTTTTCGCGCGTAATTACCGAACTGGCTGATCGGTTTTCGCAATAAAATTCTCGGGGAAATGGGAGTGACAGCACGAAAAGTAAGCTTTGCATACTTCTTAACCTACATGCTAAAACTGACAGCCAAATTATTTTATATTAAATATGATACAACTAAAAATACGTCAACCACAATGAAATCATTATATAAATCCTGTTTAAACTAACATAGTTTAACAAGAATATGATCGCCTATATAAAATGTTCATAAAACAATCAAAAGTAAATTGCAAATATAAATCCACATGAAATATAATGATACATGAAACAAGAACTCGACCATAAATAAACTACCAAATGCCAAACTGGACAATATTCAATTATTCTAAATAATCCAATTTATAAAACAACCTAAATACCAATAAAATTGACAGCCAAAATCCAAAGAATATATATATATATATCAAGACACGTCGTCCATACGATCAAACCGGCCCAGAACATCTTAATTCTACAAGACTTAAGCAGAACGTTATCAAAATAATTACAAGTATCCGGAGCATCAATCTCACAACACGCGATGTACAGACGAGAACAAATTCTTGCTCTTTCACGTCTTTCACGTCTTTCACGTCACTTTGCTTCACTCAGACCTCGAACAACGAATACACGCGTCACGTCATCCAATGATTCGACCTTAACACTGCCTCACGCTGCAACCGAGAGGCACTACCTGCATGGCCTTCCCTTGGCACTGCACGATCGCCACTTGGCCAAAATAGACTCTTTATCCCTTGAAGCAAAAAAAAGACTGGAAACGTTATATTCCAATTGGCTAACAAAGAGGAAGGAAAGGAGTCTGAGGCAAGGGGTTGATCCGCCACAAAGGAAATGGCCTTGAGGGTTTCTGTCTTCTCAGCTGACTTACACTAATGTGGTGATCCTGAGGCTAGAGGGTTCAGCACGAGGAGGTATTCTTGTTGGATTCCTCCTCTGTCGTATTGCATCTTTCCTTTTTGATTTTATTTTATTTTCGTTGGAGTCACGGACTTTATTCGAGTGACCGTCCAGCCCCGAGGTTCATTACGCTCACCGTCGAGAACAACCTGCTCTAACACAGCACTCTTTGAGTTCTTTTTTTTTGTCACTTTTGTAACATTCGTTATCTTTACAATACCAGCAACTTACATGAACACTCACAAAGGCTACTTTTGTTTATCTTTTGAGTTTGCTGCATTAACGCATCCGTTTTGTTTATTTTATCGGCTATGAAAACTAGTGATCGTATTCCCGTTTATTTTAGAACGGAAATCGGTCTTACGAAATAGGTTTCAGAGGCCGATAGCCTTTTGTTTTGCTATACTTACACATTATTTATTTTATGGCACTTATATAATGTGGTTTAGTACGCTGAAACATGACAAGCTTCCCAACTTACACATAACAGTTTATCTTTTTATTTTGAAATGATTTAAACAGTAACACAAGTTTTTTCTTTTGCATGTGTTCATATGACGCTGGTAGTTTACTGTAACACAAAATATAAGATAAAATATAACATGATCCATCGGTTAAACTCCAGACATCTAAATTATTCTTATGTTATTATTTTGTTTTAGTTTCATGATATAAAAAGGCTTTAGTTTTATTACTAAAGTTTATTTTAGTTCATTTAGGTAGAAAAGAACATCTTTAAAAGCCTTTACCTTCTAAGTTTTAAAAAACCTAAACGCTCACGCACATACTGTTTATATTTCCAGACATAACCCCATTATATATAAAGAAACACATTTCCCCTGTCTTAAAAAAAACAGAATAATAAACTGATATACAAATAGGGAACTTTACTCCCTGTGCCACATCACTAATATATTGCTACCGCTCTCTCCCGCACTTAGAGCGACGAACCAGAGGAAAAGGTAGGCGACACGACACCAAAGTACACGGTAACAAGGGATAGGGGTAGAATACACACAGGGAGGGGGGTGGGTATGAATACACAGTCTAACGCAAACACTCGATCACCTACCCACACACACACACTGGAAGATGACGCTTGCTGATTGGCTAACCGAGGGAACCAATCATGCACTGCGGTTCCTTCCTGTATGTGCGTGGTTCTGCGATCATTCTTCGGCCTTCAGGAGTACTGCGGTGCCTGCGTGGAAAACTCTGTGCGGTTCTTCTGCCTTGAGGTTCTACAGCAGGACTCAGTGGTTCTCCCTGAATGGTTTTACATCTAGATTAGACTAACTGGTAGATTTACGCTTCAGGAGATTAAAATGATGTTCTTGTATTCATTTCTCTTCGGGCAAGATGAGAAAAGTTAGAAGTTTCTCCTCTTGTTGCAGACTTAGAGAAACAGAGAATCAGGCATCATTTTCAGTCTCTTTATCAGTGTGTATGTGTATGGGTGTGTGTGCGTTTGTGTGTAAGCATGTGCGTTTACATGTGTTATTATATTGAAGTGGGTAGATAGTATGTATTTTCATAAACAGCAAAGGTCAAATAAAGCCGTAAACCATAGACTGCCACATTGCTTATCAATCTAGGAAACCTAGATTAGTCTATGTTTTTCTCCTACTGTTTTTTATAGAAGCTTACATATATTTATTTTTGGTATACAGCCTTATCCTATATTTTTCAATCATCACCTATTCCTGAACCCAAACTATATCCCTCGATACTATATCCCACATTTTTCTCCTATATACCACTTTTTACCAACATAATATCAACAACACTGACATCCAGACTGCATTTTTTTTTACATATCTGCAGTCCTTTTTTTACCCCTGTTTGCCTCTCCTTACGGTCTACTCTTTATTTGGTCCAGATTGTACACTCAATGGTCAAAAGCTTCTTCGGTGAAATATTTATATATCTATGTACTCCTCCACCTAACTCAAAATGACGTATATTTCCCCTATATGTTAAAAGTATAAAACAAGAATATATATATAGTCCCATAGGCTTACCCCAGGGATATAGTTAAGCCTCAAAATCATTTCTTCAGACTCAGAGGATAGACCATCGCGAACAACAAGAGGAATTCGAGTCTTATGAAGAGGAGGCAATTCAGAAGGTCGGATTAATAACCTCGCCCCCACCACTTCTCCCTCCTTCCCTTCCTTTACTCTCTCTATCCTTAGTTTCTTTCAATCACTGTGACTGTTCTTTTCTCTCGCCGGTTATAGTTTCATCTCTCAATGATTAATATACATTTTTTTTTCGTTATCCTCTCTCAACGATTTGGTTTAATTCTCGAGTTCTGAATTTATGATCGATAGAATTTGATTTAATTTGATTTCCGTTTCCCGATGTTTATTTTGTAATATTCCCTGTTTTTTTTCTATAATTTCTCATTTTTCAATAAATAACTTTCCGAGATACCCCGACCATTTCAGCTAAATAATACATACATATCATTTATAAATGATATGGAAATCTTAAATAATTTCGAAGAACATATCTAACTGCACGCGTTCCTTCCCTGAAATTCTCCTCTGTATATTTCTTAATTACAAATATTGCTTAAATAATAAGGTCACATTCTTTCCCATAAATCCCAGTTTCTCAGAGTAAATATTCGTAACAGACGGAGGTTACCGAGAAGCGTAAAATTTCCCAAAAGACCGGCCAGCCGCCAACCGCCGCCCAGGAGAGTGCTAAACCTGCAGAAAAGCGAAAGACTTCAAAGCCAATGGAATCCACTGAAACGAGAGACAGACGCCACACTAAACCCAAAGACCTGCGAGGTGTTAAGGCGGATGACCATTCTCTGAGACCGACTGAGAGAGGGGAGGACTGGCAAGACGAGGAGGCTTACGACGAGCCAGAACCATGGGAAGGCGATGAGGATACCTACGATGAGCCAGAACCATGGGAAGGTGACGATGATACTTACGCACCTGAAGAATGGGAAGGTGATGAAGGTGCTGATGATGAGCCAGAAGCATGGCAGGATGAAAGGGCTTATGACGGGACATCACAGCAACAGAAACGAGCTCCCAAGGGGCCAACTAGAGGGCCAAAGGAGCAGAAGGGCAGAGATCGTAGTGCTCCCTCTGACAAAAGACGACACGACAAAGAACCTAGACGTCCTTCTGATAGGCCAGAGGAACGACAAAAGAGAGGTCCTCCTGGTAGGCCTGAGGAACGGCGAGAGAGACATCCTGATAGACCAGAGGAATGGCAGGAAAGACGTCCTTCTGATATGCCTGAGGAGTGGGAGGAGAGACGTCCCTCTGATATGCCTGAGGAGTGGGAGGAGAGACGTCCCTCTGATATGCCTGAGGAGTGGGAGGAGAGACGTCCCTCTGATATGCCTGAGGAGTGGAAAGAAGGAAGGAGAGATAGAGGACCTGGCAGGCAAGAAGAAAGGAGAGGTAGAGGACCTGGCAGGCAAGAAGAAAGGAGAGGTAGAGGTCCTGATAGACCAGAGGAGTGGCAAGAAAGGCGTCCCTCTGATAGGCCTGAGGAATGGGAAGAAAGACGTCCATCTGATAGGCCTGAGGAATGGGAAGATAGACGTCCATCTGATAGGCCTGAGGAATGGGAAGAAAGACGTCCATCTGATAGGCCTGAGGAATGGGAAGAAGGACGTCCATCTGATAAACTAATGGAGCGGAAGGAGAGAGGTCCTGCCAGACAAGAAGGAAGGCGAGAGGGACGTCCTTCTGACAGGCCTGGGGAACGGAAGGACAAGGGTCCTGGTAGGCAAGAGGGAAGGAAAGATAGAGGTCCAGACAGATATGAGCCTGAAGAATGGCAGGAAAGACGTCCTTCTGATATGCCCGAGGAATGGCAGGAAAGACGTCCCTCTGATATGCCTGAGGAATGGGAAGATAGACGTCCATCTGATAGGCCTGAGGAATGGGAGGACAGAGGTCCCTCTGATAGGCCTATGGAGCGGAAGGAGAGAGGCCCTGGCAGACAAGAAGGAAGACGAGAGGGACGTCCTTCTGACAGGCCTGGGGAACGGAAAGACAAGGTTCCAGGCAGGAAAGATAGAGGTCTAGATAGACCTGAGCCTGAAGAATGGCAGGAAAGACGTCCTTCCGATTTGCCCGAGGAATGGGATGAGAGACGTCCATCTGACAGGCCTGAGGAGTGGGAAGAGAGAGGTCCTTCTGACAGACCTATGGACCGAGGTCCTGACAGACAGGAAGGAAGGCGAGACAGAGGGCCTCAGAAGCAAGAGAGACGTCCTTCTGATAAGCACGAACGAAAGCGGGAGGGACGACCTTCAGAGAGGCCTGAGGAAAGGAGGGAGAGAAGTCCTGGCAGGCAAGAAGAAAAACAAGAAAGGGGTCGTGAGAGACCCGATGAATATCAGGAGAGGCGCCCATCTGATAGGCCTGAAGAGTGGCAAGAAAGAGATCCCACTGATAGGCCAGAAGAGTGGCAGGAAAGACGCCCTTCTGACAGGCCAGAGGAAGGGCAAGAGAGGCGTCCTTCTGACAGACCAGAAGATTCGCAGGACATAGGTATTTTGAGTCCATCAGAAGACCAGAAAGCTACTAGTCCTTCCGACAGTCCAGGTCTAGAGAATGGTCTAAGCTCTAACCCAGAAGGCAATCCACATGCTAACACTAAACGCACTTCTATTCCATCAAGCAAACAGTCACAACAAACAGGCGACAATCCAGAGGTACACTCCCTTTGGATGAGCCACCTCTGCGCCCCCACCCCCTCACCCTAAACCTCCTATCCTTGCCCATGATTATTTCTTGATACAAACAGAATCTCTTATTTGTGATATAATAGGTATATGTTTGTCTTTCACTTGTGTTCGTGCATTCGTAAAGTAATTGTATTATATGTCCTACGCAATGTGTAGATACACCTTGTATGTATATAATCATGTATATATATATATATATATATATATATATATATATATATATATATATATATATAATCATGTATATATATATATATATATATATATATATATATATATATATATATATATATATATATATATATATATATATATATATGTATATATGTATATATGTATATATATATATGTATATATATATATATATATATATATATATATATATATATATATATATATATATATATATATATGTATATATATATGTATATATATATATATAAATATATATATATATATATATATATATATATATATATATATATATATATATATACATATATATATATATATATATATATATATATATATATATATATATATATATATATATATATACATATATATATACATATATATATATATATATATATATATATATATATATATATATATATATAGGTATATATATACTATATATGTATACACATATAAATATATGTATATATTTTTATATATACAAAGTCTTTATCACAGACATACACACATTTGTAATCTTGCGTCATCTATCTACTCTACCTAGAATTAGTCCAGAATTTGTTCGTTTGTTTCATGTATATATATATATATGTCTGTTGACTGAGACCTCTTCTACTTTCTTTACTTCCAATACTTTCAATGAGTAACAGAATCTTGTTCCAGAAATAATACTGGACATTTGACCACATCCTAATTCTGTCGTCTAAATAACCCAGTATCGCGTGGAACCTAAGCTTCCCTTAACGTCTCCTGACGAATAACGAAATGGACGGATACAAGCTTGTCAACTTTTTCAGTGTTTGTGTATGGTGAGAATATATATATACACTCACTGTATATACGTATATAAATAAATATATATATACATACATATATATATGTATATATGTATATATATATATATATATATATATATATATATATATACATATATATACATATATATATATATATATATATATATGCATATATATGTACATATATATATATATATATATATATATATATATATATATATATATATATATATATATATATATATATATATATATATATAAACTGTATGTATTTATATATACATCACATGATTTAAATATGGCATGTCGGTAAAGATTGATTTCACTAAACTTGTGCGATCATTTATAAATACCTACATCCTAACACAACATTAATCCGCGAAAAGTCTCTGAATCGCTGACAAGCCTGCATCCGTAACATAACGAACTCCCACGAGAGTCTAAGTGCAAGGTGCTGCCGTGTCTTAAGCTGCTCAGACTGACCCTGGTGTGTTTACCCCAGCTGCTCACGTGCGCCCCGCCGGCCTACATGTCCGAGGACTCCTCAGAGTACTCCAGCGAGGAGGACGACTGGGGAGGCGGCATGGACGTGCTGCACCAATGGGTAAGGAGAGTCCCGGTGAGAGAATGAATCCGATCTCAACGCGTTTAAAAAGAACGATTAAAAAAAAAGCGGCTAAAACGTCCTCTCAAGATGTCAGCCATCAAGGGAGGAAGAAGAAATCTGAATTCTTTCCTTGATGCTTTCTTTTAATGATAAAAAAGGAAGACTCAAAATAAATTAATGGTGCAAGGAAAGTGTCGGTTTGTTAAAACGCAGCGAAAGACAATGCTCACCTTGTGCTCCTCGAGTCCCCTTCATCACCACCTACAAGTGTGTCTCCTGAGCTGTGTTCGTTTGACCGTGTGGAGTGGCCCTCTTCCCGAGTTAACTCTGGTGACAGTCGGCCCCTCCAGGTTGTCTCACACTCCTTGCGTTAATTACCCGGAACCCTTAATTCATGTGTTACACTTAATTACCACTTGGATGTTGACTCTCGTTGGCCATTCCCTTTGTTTGGTGAACACTGGCCTTTCCCCCAGAGCTGCCTCGATAGCCATGGGGGATTGACGCCAGCAAACAATGTGATGGCATTGTACATCATGGACATTGCCCTTAGCCATCTCCAAAGATGTTTCAATCATTTATGTGTTTTAGATTCAAAGTATCCTCTTAGTTTATATCACGAGATGGCTAAGGATCTACAACTCTTCTGTCTTCTATATTTCTTTAGTCTTAGTCTTTTGGTGTACTTATTTGTGGAGTTTATAACTTCTGAATTCCAGAAGTCCTTCTGTACTCTATATTTTCTTGTAATATCTTCCTCACGTGTGTCTTTATGTCGTGTATACCCGTGTCAGATTTGTGGTATTTAAAAAAAACAGACAGACAAACAAACGTGGCTTAGTTTTGCTTGTTTTAGGCACATAGATGTTTTATTTCCGTTTTTTATGTTCGCAGCACAACGCTGCTACTAAATATCCCTAAATAAGTCTTTTGTGTTGTCCCCCCCCCCCCAATATAAAAGGAGATCTTGTTTCACCTCTACAGAAGCAGCAGAACCCTAAAAAACCGGAAGATAAACCCGACTCTAAAGAAACAGCGAAAAAGCTAAACCCCAAGAACCCCAAAGATAAACCTGAAAGTAATCCGGGTCCTGAAAATCCCAAGAACCCTAAAAAAAATCCAGAAGTAAGCGGTGGTGGTTGTACGATTGCGTTCGCGCTAATCCGGTGTCTTCGAGAGTTTGGATCTCACTAGAGTAAATAAAGATGATAATAATAGAAACGATACTAATGATATTGATCGTATTAGTGATAACCATTCGATTTCTTTAAAGATTAATCAGTCATGTTTTTTAAGGCGAGATCCAAATTCTCGAACGGCACTCAAGAAGCAGACAAGCCTAACCATTGGCTAACACGAAAAAAAACTGAAGAGTGGATTCTCCGATTAATTTTTCTTTTCTTTTTCAATGTGACTATCTCTTTTATCCAGGGATCTAAAGGTCAATTATCCCGTGACTGTATATTTGTTGTTTTTTTTTCTTCGTTTTGTTCACAAATTTCATCTATCGTTTTTTTGTTTTTGTTTTATAATTGACACGAAATGAAGAGTGCATATTACCGTTTTGTACCGTCCATTCTTCAGCAGAACTAAATATATATATTTTTTTATCCTTATGATTTTGTAGCGCGCAAAGAAATTAAGCAAGTGAAGGCTAACAATGCTTCGTAAAAACATTTATCGTCTGCCATTAACCACGTGGAAAACTATACATGAGTGTGAATCACTCGTGGACGCATATTGACAATGACTTACAACTGACACCTAACACATGACTTTGTTCAAGCTTCACTCAACACATTAGGCCTATAAAACACCGTAGTTTAGTATAGGTGCAATAAGACACATTGGCTTCATTGCGCTTTTATAGTTGAAGCCACGAGACTGCACAACAATATTAATAAAGAAAAAAAGTGGTATTCACGCCATTTAGAACCTGATGGGGAATTTTTTTCTTTGTTTCTTATATTTTTTCTGTTATTTATAGCAGGATGTTTTTTGTTTTTTCACTTTTATTTATGAAAAGTGTGCTACGTGAGCGAGGGTTCGGCGTCAGCGCCTTTTTTTTAAACATTTCACATTTTGTTATTTACACTGTCTAATTGTAATTTTTCTCTCCCCCACCTCTTCGCGCCTTTCTTTTTCTCTTTCTTTCTTTCTTTGTCTCTCTCTTTCTATATCATTCTCTCTCTTTCCTTCTCTCTATTTTTCTCTTTCCTTCTCTCTATTTTTCTCTTTCCCTCTCTCTATTTCTCTCTCTCTCTCTCTCTCTCTCTCTCTCTCTCTCTCTCTCTCTCTCTCTCTCTCTCTCTCTCTCTCTCTCTCTCTCTCTCTCTCTCTCTTCCGCACACCGCTGCAATGACTTCACTTCTCACCTGGCGTGTAGAAACCGAAAATCGTAGAGCCCCCCAAAGCGGTAAGTGTGCCAAGACGCACCTTTTTCTCGCACCCTTGTTGATGCTCTTTTGTTTCCTCCGCGCACCTATCCTCCCTCGCGCCTGCGTACACCTCCCTCTCCATTTTTTTTTTTTTTTTTTTTATCTCTCTCATTCGCATATGGTCTTTTTCCGCTGCGTATCGATGGTACCTTCTTGTACTTCATTTTGACCCCGCGCTTGGTATATTTGACTACCGCCCCTGCTTCGTTGACTGCCCCCTTTTGCCATTGTATAAGGAGTTGTACCCCGTGCTTGGCTGACGTCCAAACGTTTCCAATCCTATGTGTACTTTCTTGTTTGTGTGTATGTCTTTTTTTCCTTGTTCATTGCCTCTATACCTCTACTCCGTGTCTTGTAAGTCCTCTTGTTCTCCCTCTTTTGTAATTCTTTGTGTTAGTTACTGAAGTGCGTTTGTAATGTGTATGTTTCTGTTTGTATGTGTGTATTTATGTGTGTGTGTGTGTTTGTGTTTACATGTGTGTGTGTGTGTTTGTGTTTACATGTGTGTGTGTGTGTGTGTCTACGTGTGCTCAGTTTTGTGTTTTTTATCATATATTTTTGGTTTCAACTTTATCTTCACAGTTGCATTTGTCAGGCTTTGCGATGTTTCATCTCTCTCCTTATTGTTTGAATCTACTTTGTTTATTTACTTCGTCTAAGAGCATATATTCATGCAAAAATACGATGAAACGTATTATTGTTAATATTAATAGGCATTGTGATCAGAAAGGGAATTAAAGATACGAAGAAAATTTAGTTGATAATTCTGATTTGTAGACTTTAATTCCTTTATGGTGCATAATGGATATATATATATATATATATATATATATATATATATATATATATATATATATATATATATATATATATATATATATATATATATATATGTATATGTATATGTATATGTATATATGCATATACATATATACGACAGTGTTACAAATCCGCGGTAAAACATGCACAGGGTTACTATCGAAGTCTATCTACGAAATAAACGACCTTTGCCTTCTTTATCGCGTAGAGTAAAACCACATTTTTTCCTGCTTGTCGTTAACGTGGACATGTTTTACCTCGGTCTTGAGACACTGGATCTGTAGCATGGCGGACGTTAGGTGTGGATCTCGCTTTAGGTGTGACGCAGGACCGGCCTCAGGTAAGTGGCTGGCCTGTGACCATCCTTCCCTTCCCTGGAAACCCCCTGTGTTTACATGTGTGTGTGTGTGTGTTTGTGTTTACATGTGTGTGTGTGTGTTTGTGTTTACATGTGTGTGTGTGTGTGTTTGTGTTTACATGTGTGTGTGTGTGTGTTTGTGTTTACATGTGTGTGTGTGTGTTTGTGTTTACATGTGTGTGTGTGTGTTTGTGTTTACATGTGTGTGTGTGTGTGTGTGTGTGTGTTTGTGTTTACATGTGTGTGTGTGTGTTTGTGTTTACATGTGTGTGTGTGTGTGTGTTTGTGTTTACATGTGTGTGTGTGTGTTTGTGTTTACATGTGTGTGTGTGTGTGTGTGTTTGTGTTTACATGTGTGTGTGTGTGTGTGTGTTTGTGTTTACATGTGTGTGTGTGTGTGTGTGTGTGTTTGTGTTTACATGTGTGTGTGTGTGTGTTTGTGTTTACATGTGTGTGTGTGTGTTTGTGTTTACATGTGTGTGTGTGTGTGTTTGTGTTTACATGTGTGTGTGTGTGTTTACGTGTGCCCAGTTTTGTGTTTTTATCATATATTTTTGGTTTCAACTTTATTTTCACAGTTGCATTTGTCAGGCTTTGCGATGTTTCATCTCTCTCCTTATTGTTTGAATCTACTTTGTTTATTTACTTCGCCTAAGAGCATATATTCATGCAAAAATACGATGAAACGTATTATTGTTAATATTAATAGGCATTGTGATCAGAAAGGGAATTAAAGATACAAAGAAAATTTAGTTGATAATTCTGATTTGTAGACTTTAATTCCTTTATGGTGCATAATGGATATATATATATATATATATATATATATATATATATATATATATATATATATATATATATATATATATATATATATATATATATATGTATATGTATATGTATATGTATATATGCATATACATATATACGACAGTGTTACAAATCCGCGGTAAAACATGCACAGGGTTACTATCGAAGTCTATCTACGAAATAAACGACCTTTGCCTTCTTTATCGCGTAGAGTAAAACCACATTTTTCCTGCTTGTCGTTAACGTGGACATGTTTTACCTCGGTCTTGAGACACTGGATCTGTAGCATGGCGGACGTTAGGTGTGGATCTCGCTTTAGGTGTGACGCAGGACCGGCCTCAAGGTAAGTGGTGTCCTGTACCATCCTTCCTTCCCTGAAACCAGCGCCCGGACGCTTCCCCTGTCTCGCTCCTTCTCCTCCTCGCGACAGACCGACCGTCGCTCCTTTCTCTCTCGACGTTGAATCCGCTCGACTGTCAGCTGTTCATCCCATGCGCTCGATCAACCCACTGAGTCACATGACGTCAGAACCTTCCGCGAGATTGTTTATTCCGCTTTGATTGTTGCTAGTAGCCTCCTTGGACGCCCGTCAGCTTTTTTCTATTTTTCTTTAAGGATTCTGCGATGTTGTAGGATGAGTGTAGTTCTCTCCGCTCTTTGCTTCACGTTCTGTTATCTCTCTTCACCGACTCCTCAAACTATGTACAAATGTATCTTTTGGTGTAACTAATTTCCAATCAGTAGGTTTAACTATGGCAACGTGCGCTCGATGTTTATTTGGAGAAAGGGAAATGGTCGTTTAGAAAAAAGTTAACAACCTCGGCTCCTTGATGCTGCTCTTAACACCCATTCATCTGTGAGATAAAAGCCTCTTCTAGATGAGAGCGAATCCCAGTCTGAGTGTTTAGATTCCCTCTGCGGATCCTCGATGTCTGTAGCAGCTCGGTGTTCGGTGTTCTCACTTTCAAGTAATCCGAATTATTCACTACCGCCATATCTATTTTAGGTAAAGCCAATCCCACAACGAAGGAGCGGCGTTGGTGCGATTATTGAGTCTAACGAACTAGGTGTGACGCAAGCGATCAGTGAACTAAACGTAGACAGTAGTGGTGTGGTGTCCCGCCGCTACACGGTCGGGAACGTAGTCGAGTACACACGCGACGGACCGATAAATATAACGATCGAGGAACTGAGCTGTGACCGACAGCAGGAGCAGGGAGACAGGGAGCCGGGGCTGACGGGGCCGGAGGACTTTCCCCAACCCGAGGGGGGCGGCGCCGGAGACTCTAACGTACGGAAAGAAACGGACAGTGAGTGGTCATCGCCCCCCGTCTCCTCGAGACCTCCCCGCCTGAGCCTGCCCCTGGCAAGCAGGCCTTCCCTCAACATCGTTCCTCCCCTGCAACAAAGCCCCTCCCTCCTGAGCCCCCCCGAGGAGGACCTCCCCATGCTCTTCATCAACAGGCGTAGGAGTAACATCCCGCTGCCGGAAATCTTGGAAACTCCCGAGGACGAGGACAAGGGCATGAAGCTCTTCCTGCAGCAGCGGAGGAAGAGCCTCACCAACTGCTGGGTAAGAGGCGTCGCTCTACTCGGACAGGAGTTCTTGCGGCCCAGAGTTCTAGTTCCGAAGGCGAAGATAAGAACGCTTCGTTTAGGGCGCAGACGAAAGAGCGTCCTAGATGTCTCTTCTCTGCAAAATAGCAGTAATTCGTGTGTTTATCCCCATTCGGTTAATAAGATATTTAATAATCTTCTCTAACTTTCAACGAAAAGCCGAGTAATATTAATTGATATTCCCTTATGTAGACTGACTAGCTAGCTCTATATGAAGAGAAACGATGACGTAAGCAACTTCGTCCGAGTGGATAAGCGCCCTTCAGAAACACCACGAACTGAGAGTATATCTCACAGTACTTAAAGTTCTTAAAAATCTTGTCATAATGGTCAGTCTTTCCCGTATGTCATGAAGGTAAGTTGCTTTCCAGGGTCGAATGTAGGTCTCAGCCAAGGGAAATTCACAACAGATGCAACTGGCGATCCTCTGTGATTGTATGTGAATGATGTTATGGGTGTTCATGAATGTTTCCTCTATCATTCCCGCTGAGCATGATATTCCTTCCAACTTTTGTCTCACCTATTCGTCTTGATGTGAACGGTTCCCTTGTTGTTTCCACGATCCTCCGCCTTATGTGTACAAGACTCACCCTCCTATTCTAAGGCTCCGATACTCTGTATAAAGCCCCTTTTCATCGTTGTACCCCGCTGTGCCTGCACACTATTCTACTGCCGTAAGACCTCGTTAAACCTGCATAATGCATTTCCGTTCAGCCGTTTATAACTGCATATCGTTTTTGTTGTTGAAAAGAACCCCTGCTACGCCTCTTTACACTGTCTTGCACCACATAAAAGTACCATGCTTACATACAGTGTTCTTGCACTGTTAAATCTGTTTACTACTACTGACTGAATACTACTGCAAAAACACATTCTGAGACAGGAGCACGTTATTCCTGCTGATCGCACTGTTTAACGTTTGGGTACAGCAACTTTGGCACTGTACCCAAGCGGATGATCCCGCCGACAGCTTGGACACAGCTGTTGGGGCACCAGATATATGTCCTCTCGTGGCTCCTAGTGACTTGCCTGTTTCTTGTTTCCCAAGCATAGCACCCTTGATCATGTCTCATTACTATTCGATGTTTGGGAGACAAAGGCACTCCAGCATCGACGTTTACTTCTGCTACATGACTCAGCTAACATGTTCCTTCCCTTTTTTTCCATATTTCCCGATAGGCGAAGAAGAAATCAGAAGAGGTAATTCAAGGTCTTTTATTTTTTATTTTTTGCATTTTTGAAGGATTATTTTCTTTTATAACATATTTTTAACAAAAGGCGTGCCACTTTTATCAAAATGGATGGCACGTTTATTTTCTCTCTTTTATTCTCTTATTTTTATTCAGGATTCTTTTAGCATGAAGTCATATATGAAGCTCAGTGCAACGAGTCATATATATTTACGATTGAAAATGCAGCATGTCGGGAAAAAAACTATTCTTAATAAGCTATTAAAAAATTGTCAACGTCACTTTCAAAATATTCCGGTACTATGACTAAATTTACCTCTACATTTCTTTACCCTAACATTTAACGTGCGTGTCCCCTGGCAAGCGGTGGCAGCGGGACTGAGCATGGCAATCCCGCCCACTGCCCTTGCCTCGCCTCACGCACTCGCAAAGGACGCGGTGCGTGAGGCCTAAGAAGAGATTTGAGGAATTTACTAGGAATGACTTTCGTGCGTCTTCTTGAGGCACAAACCGAGAGAGGCCGAGTCTATACGGTTTTCATTTTCATGGACTGAAAGAGGGAAAGTTCGGAGGGTCTTCATGACTGATTGAGATTTTTTTCCTTTTGTCAACTACCGGAGTCAGCACTGGTGACTTTTCTTAGACTCTGCCTCTCTTATCACAACGATTTTTAGTTCAATATAATTTTTTATATTTTTTTGTCGGATGTAGATTAGTCAAGATTTCTTCAGTATTATACAACTATTCAATAACTGTAAGATCTTGTCGCGTCTTTTTCTTCCTCCCTGCATGCACCTTTTACCTTTAGCTTAACTCTGCGAGACTCTCGACCACGCTATCTCTTCTGCAGGAGGCTCCTAAGATCGAAGTATCGAAGGAGAAGACTCCCGAGCGCCGTG